ATCTATAGAATAATAATAGACAAATAAAATAGAAACAGAAGCATGAATACATGGAATAGACTGACAGTTGTCAGAGGAAAGGGAGTTAGAGTGGGTGGATGAAAGAAAGTGAAGGGATTTAAAAAACATTACGTAACACGCAGACACACACAACAGTGTGGTGATAGCCAGAGAGGAACTGGGTTGGAGGTAGGTGGAGGTGTGCAAAGGGGCGATAAATGGAGATAGAAAGAGACTTTGCTTTGGGTCATGGGCATACGATGCAGTGTGCAGATGATGTTTTGCTGAGTTGTAGATCTGAGACCTATATGGTTTTGTGAACCCATGTCACATCAATAAATTCAATAAAAAATAAAATAAAAATTCAAACATTTAATAAACTGCCACATTGGAGAGCTTATACTTTAAAATACTGTGAAAGTGAATAAATGAGAAAACTCACTGGGTTACAACAAGGATTTATTCTCATGCTCACTGGTCTGAAGTTGACTAATGAAGGCTGGGTTCCGCTGGGCAGCTCTGCTGCAGGCTGCTGGGTTTGGCTCCCCACTGCATGCTGGGCTCAGGTCTGCTCTATACATCTTCATTCTGGGGTCCAGGTTACATGGGCATTGACTATGATGTTTTGCTGAGTTGTAGATCTGAGACCTATATGGTGAGGCCTGTTTTCATGGCACATGAGCAGAGCCCCAGAGGGCAGGCCAACCATACCAGTGCTTTTTAAGCCTCCGACTTACATCACACCCACTAATCGGCCAATGCAAGTCACATGAGTGAGCTCAAAGTCAGGGGCAGGGAAGTACATCCCGGCCACCATGAGGCCAGGCAAGGATGTGGCTGTATAATTCTATTACAGAGAAATGACAAATTGGAACAAAAATGGAATCTCCCACATTCCTCACACTTTCATTTTTCTTCAAGCTCAATATTCCTCCTTCCTTCAATCATACTCCATAAGACACAGCTTCTAGGTCATTCACCGTATGACAATGTCCTACACCAATTTTAGTTCTTCAGTATTCCTGTTAAATATAATGCTCACAACTGAACACAATATTCCATATGTGGTCGGACCATATTGATTTCTCCTACAGAAAGGCACGGTGATCTTTCTGTGCCATGTTGCACCGGCAGCAGCCTCAGACCTCTCATGTTTACCGTATCTCCTGATTGTATCATTTTCTCTTGTGCTTGATTTAATCTGTTGCTGTTTTGTACAAGAACATGCTGTACAGGCTTGTAGCCAAAGAGCACTAGGCTGTACCATATAACGTAGGTGTGTAGCACACTACACCATCTAGGTTGGTGTATGTACAATCTGTGACATTCACACCAGGACAAAACTGCCTAGCGACACATTTCTCAGAACCTAGTATCCATTCTGAGTTCATGACTGTATTCCTCAATTAATTCTCTACTAAAATATCATTTCCTCCATAAGCTGTGCCTCGTATGGTGAAGGCCTGGGGAGGGGGGCAAATATGGGCTAGAAGGGATCAATGGGGAAAAAAAGGGGACCTCTGTAATACTTTCAACAATAAAGACAGCCCTAGCTGGTTTGGCTCAGTGGATAGAGCACTGGCCTGTGGACTAAAGGGTCCCAGGTTCGATTCCAGCCAAGGGCACATGCCCAGGTTGCAGGCTTGATCTTCAGTGTGGGGTGTGCAGGAGGCAGCCAATCAATGATTCTTTCTCATCATTGATGTTTCTATCTCTCCATCCCTCTCCCTTTCTCTCTGAAATCAATACAAATATTTAAAAAAAATTAAGATAAAGTTACGAAATGAAATAAATATTTGTGGATCTACCTAAAAACAAAATATTCCACAAGGTGCTGAGGATACTGCAGTGAACAAGACAGACAGTTCTTAGCATCTTAGAGAGAAAGACCTAAACAAATAACTACACAGTTTACCAACTAATATAACTTCAATAAGTACTACAAAGGAGAAGTACAATAGCATCTGAGCATGGGTCAGAGCTTGTGTTCTGTGTGCTTATAGGTCTTCCTCATCATAGTGTCTATCGCACTTTACTATAATTAGCTGTTGTCTTTATTCCCTGCTACCTTTACTGGGCTGTATTTTCATAGCCTGGTATAACTCCTATTGAATAAAAGTGCTTAATAATTATTTTTGAAATGATCAAATGGACTTGTTCAGAATACGAAATTAATGAGCCAGGATAATAGTTGAGCTTAGGACTCAAATTCCCATCCTTTTGCCTCTATATGGCATTACCAAGTTAATGCTAGCCTACTACACAATTACAAATAAAAAAGAACTTATACATATATATGTTATTTATAAATTATACCTACCTGTAACTTGAAAACCTACGTACATATAGCTATCATATAATCTATATCTTATACTAACATAGGTATACTAATTAATGGCCCCCATATTCCTTATTTGTAATGGAATATGTTAAACAACATATAAACTTATAGATCTAACTGAAGAATTCAAAATGGGCTCATGCTAAATAAATGGTAACAATGACAATCATAAATAACAAACGCAAATATATACAAATTAGGAGTTATTTTAAAATACGATAAAAGGCAATTTCTTAAATGTTTATGCTACAAAGAACAGTGTTATACTAATAAGAAACTCTTGCACATGATAAAGTAACAGCTGTTCTTTCACTCTACAAGTCCATATTCACAGCAGGTCAGCCTGCCATCCTCACTTAGACATTAAAATATTTTATTTTATTTTTAAATATATATCTTTATTGATTTCAGACAGGAAGGGAGAGGGAGAGAGATAGGAACATCAATGATGAGAATCATTGATCGGCTGCCTCCTGCACGCCCCACACTGGGGATCGAACCTGCAACTCATGTATGTGTCCTGACCAAGAATCGAACCATGACCTCCTATTTCATATGTCGACACTCAATCACTGGGCCACGCCAGCCAGACAAATATTTTCTTTAAAATTTTCTGTGAATTTATAGAAATTACAAATACAATCCTCAAATTGCTAGCATATGTTTTCTTTTACCTTCTCCCAAAAGAACTGAAAGCTAGTCCTAGGAAAACCGCCTAACTCACTACAGTGAATTAGCACCCTCTAGTGAAAAAAGGTGGCAGAAAAGTAAGCTCCCTTACAGTGGTTCTCAACCTTCTGGCCCTTTAAATACAGTTCCTCATGTTGTGACTCAACCATAAAATTAATTTCGTTGCTACTTCATAACTGTAATGTTGCTACTGTTATGAATCGTAATGTAAATATCTGATATGCAGGATGGTCTTAGGCGACCCTTGTGAAAGGGTCGTCTGACCGCCAAAGGGGTCGCAACCTACAGGTTGAGAACCGCTGCCTTAGGAGAACACTATTTCATATCCAAAGGTTACTGATGTAGCAGTATAATATGACAATTTTTTAAAAAATATATTTTATTGATTTTTTACAGAGAGGAAGGGAGAGGGATAGAGAGTTAGAAACATCAATGAGAGAGAAACATCGATCAGCAGCCTCCTGCACACCTCCTACTGGGGATGTGCCCACAACCAAGGTACATGCCCTTGGCCGGAATCAAACCTGGGACCTTTCAGTCCACAGACCGACGCTCTATCCGCTGAGCCAAACCAGTTAGGGCCAACAGGACAATTTAAGAAAATATAGAAAACTGTTGCAGTAACACAATCTCCTGATTATGTTTTGTTTTTTTTATATTAGAATCTAACATACTTTAGCTATTAATATTACATTTACTCTAAGAAACTGACACTCAGTACTATAATCATTAAAAAAATATTCTAATTATGGAATGTTTTAAAAAGATAATTTGCTATGTTGGAAGCACCACTAAATAAGTATGGCCCATTAATGCACTTTCCCATCCTCATCACGTAGCCAGATGCTAAGGGCCTTGACTTTATCCTGCAGACCTCGGGAAACCATGACACATTTTTATATAGTTTGGTGGCTGCATACAGGATGGATTCACATGGAAAGTGGAGGTTGGTGATAGTAATTAAGGTAGGAGATGCCCAGGCCTGCATCAAAATGGTGAACAAGTGTCCAGTGGGTTTGGGGTCACTACAACATGCAGAATGTCTCTAAACTTCTGCAGCAATATTTTTTTAAATTTAGTCATACCTCTGTATATCTTTTCTATTATTAAGCTATACTGAAAAGCTTAATCATTTTTTAGTCTTGTTCTTCCTATAAAGGGTAACTTCCTTGAGGATAGAAATTACCTCAGTGTAGACAATAAATAATGATTTAATTTGAAAAATGTGTGAAATGTTATTTCGATGATATAACTTGTGTGGATAAAAAAAAAATATGGTGAGTTTTTTAAAAAGTACTTTTAAAATATTCTTTTAAGGAGAAATATTATGTTAATTATGTACATCACCAACTCTCAAATGTGATCACTACATCATGATGACAATTTTTATCTTGTGGATAAAAAAAGCTCCTTGAAATGAATTGGTCCTTTTATACTGCATCTTTGAGTTTAAAAAGTCAACTCATCTATTATCATTTTTCCGCTCAATTTCTTTTTAAAAAATATAGTATGATTTATTTTTAAATGTTCAAAGGCAAGAAAACGAAACATTAATTTTCTTTCAGATATGTACATGAAGGTAAAACTTTCAAAACAAAACATATATACATGTTAGAAACCTGACTTTCAAACCTGATTAAACCAGGAAATTAATAACAGAATCAGGTTACCTGCGAGGAAGGAGTGATGAGGAACAAGGGACTGTAAGTCCTTGCTAATGTTCTAGTTCTAGCCCGCCCCAGGCTTTCACCACCCTATTGCCTGAGTCCATGGGTTACGCATGTATGCATACAAGTTCTTTGTGTGATCTCTCCCTCTCAAAATTTTTATTTTCCTATCCTTTACTTTGTGGTGCCTATTAGAAAATATAACATAAATTTCTATTCACTTGGATTCCTAAGCCAGGGAACTCCAACAGGCTGATCAATTAGATCAGAAGCTTAAGCATTCACAGCTACCTGGCACATACCTGAATTCAGGAAGAAGTAGGGAGAGTCTCCATGAATGCCCACTGTGCCTGGCCCCAGGGAGTCAGACAGGGTGTTCACAAAGGAAAATACTCCACTCATGATTCCAAAGCCCAGGCCAGAAACTAAAGAGGCAGAAAAAACACTGTTAAACCCTTTCATGCTATGATTTGTCTTCAAATTTCCAAGGACTGGGAAAGACTATTTTGTGGAAGGGGAAAAGGTGCACATGCTATCGGGGAAACAGTGGAAAGCCGGCTCAGAAGAGGCAGGTGCTTGGCTAAATGATGAATCGAGTGAGATGAGGAAAGGGAATGACTAGTGGGATGTAGCAGAGAAATGAAAAAGATCTAGACAGAAGCCACAGGTGAAATGGGGAAGGATAGATGCTGAAGCTCTGGCTTTAGTTATAACAGAGTCTAAGTGTGATGGCTTAGAGCTAGGAACTGTACTTAAGTGTGACTGCAGTGTAAGAAGTGATCCCTGGGCCAAACTGGCCGATTCAACTTACACACCTAGATCCAATTTTAAAAACGTAATTCTAGCCCTGGCTAGTGTGGCTCCGAGGTTAGAACATCGACCGGAGCACCAAAGGCCGCACGTTCAATTCCTAGTCAAGGGCATGTACCTGGGTTGCCATTTGCTCCCTGCCCCAATCAGGGTGTGTACAGGAGGCACAGTCGATGTGTCTCTCTCACATTGATGTTTCT